TATATATTTCGTTTCTTTTTCTTATTTTACAGGGCATCTTCGCAACGAGCAACATTGTTTATGCATTTGCTGCTCATTTCCATTAGGTCCCCACGTTTCACTTATTTATTTTTCTACTTTTGCTGCTCCGTCTACACTTTTTATTATGTTTTTGTTTTTCACTTTTTTTTTGATTAATCATCATGCGCACCTCCGTTTGGAATTTCTCAATCAAGGCGCTGCATTGTCAATGGTTGTCTGCAGAGTTGCGAGCATTTCCTTGTTTTGATTACCTCCCTGGCTAAGAGTCTGACTGAAGAAAGCCTCAGCAACACAGACGACTCTCAGCATGCCTCACAACATAACATAAACAATGCATTCGAGTGCTTTGTGTATGAAATAGAAATAGAAGTCGAGTGTAAGACAAAGATGATGTGATTATTTAAACTATACTATATATGTTTAACAGTCAAGCCTTTTATTTCACTAGAATAACCTGCCTCAATGAAAGAATCTTTAAAAAAGTACTTCTAATCTTAAGAATATTCTGAGATATAACCGTATCAACTCTTATGCCCCACAGGTCTCTCAACAAGTCTTTATAACTAAGAAATATAATATTTCATTAAAGTGTTTCTTTATAGCTTTTGCTAGTAATAAAACGAGGCACAGCTACTTTAAGTTAGCCAAAGCCATAAACTTTAATTTCCTGGCTAGTTCAAACAGTTCCCCTTCAGTCGCTGTCTGGTGACTAATCCGCCGGCAATGAGAGTTTACCATTGTCTGCCAGCTGTGGTACGCATCCACCCTGCTCGAGGAATAGAGTCACAAATAATCGTGGCGAATACACCCCGAAGAACTTCATTTATATGATTCTGTTGCACTTCTTCGCATGTGTCACGCATTCATTTGGCCATAATCCAGGCGAATGCGTTGGCTGCAGCAACCCTTAGCCATTATTTAGCCACACGTGCCGCAGTCAAGAGTTAAACCTGACTCTCGAGTGCAACAATTATATAACAAAGACAGCAACAAAACTCAGATTACTTTTATTGATTTCCATTTAAATTATTCAATTTGTAATGCAGAAACCGTGATAATTTGCGCTGGCAACAATGCCACCTACACAAGCTACAACGCGCCCTGGAAACACCTATACAAAAGGGGCCTGCCACACTGTGCCACATATGCCGCATGGAACGGCTTGCCAGCTCATGTGGCAAGCTTTGACTATTATTAATACAAAGCAGCTCGAAGCAGCGACTCGACCAAATATTCATTAATATGCGTCATTGTCTTTGTGGTCCCGGCCTGGTACGCCTGGTCGTGGGAGCCCAACAAACCTGAGCTGAGCGCATTTACTGACACGTTGTCTGCCACCTTAAATGCAATTTGTACGTACAGTGATCACTCGGCAATCAGACAGAAGTGACAGAAATTGAGATAAACTTTTTTTTTAGTAATTTGCTTTATAGGTTGCATTTGTTGAGAAAAGTTTATAAACAAGCAACAGACGTGAGAAAAAAATTACTGACTTCATAAGCTGTAGATAAGATCTTATAAACACGTTTATTGAAGCGATGGTAGTTGTTGAGATCACATAAATATAAGTATTGTTTTATTTAAATTTCTTGATACCAACTTCTCTTTTATTCAAATTTGATAATATTAAACTCAGCTCTTTGAAGTATAATAACTTCGTAATCTCAATTAGTTAAGCTAAGGTTTTTATTGCACACAAACACGATTTCAAAACAGAGTATCTTCCTCAAATTTGAAGAGTTTCATGTAGCGTTAGACTACTGTACTACAAGAGAACGACACATCTATAATTCCACTCTAGTAATTTGATTCATCAACTCGAGTGGTCATCATCAACAGCAACCTCAACCCCATCATCATCATCATCATCATCATCGTTGTTCGTCGTCTCCATCGTAGCTTAATTGAAAATCAACTCAATTTACGGCTGTAACATTTACATTTACATTTACATTTACGCACAGCTCTTGAGCATGGCAGTCTTCAAGCTTGACTTGATTGAGTCAGGTCAAAAGAATTTAAATGGATACACGCACTCTGTGGCAACATCTTGGAGAGCGGCACTCAAACGGAAGCCTGAGCATGCATATTCCAACGTGATCCAACTCCACTCGGACCTCTTCACATTTGTTGACATTTGCATAAATTGCGTCTTTCAAGTGGATTTCGGGCGTTGGCCATTCAAAGAACGTGCCTAAGCCGAGCTCCGTTCCACCTAAACTCAATTGAGATTGTAGCAAATTGTATTCTGCGCTCGTAATTAGACAGACAACGGCTAATTAGAATTGAAAGAAAAACACACACAAAAGATGCACAGATGCCCGGGAGATAAAAGAGCTCAAGGAAATGGACAATTTGCTAAATTTGCTGCTGCCAAACGGGAAGAAGTTCAACAACAACCAAAAGAGCTAAATTTCCTTGCTTAGTAATTAGTTTGATATTTTTTTAAGATAAACATGAGCTGGGGCTAACATTGATGGACATCGACTTTATGAATGTATTATAATGATAATTTTTAGATATATTCGATAGATGGTTTTTCGTATTAAGATAGATTTATTTGCCTCACGTTAATATTGCAATTTTCAGACCAAGACTGAGTATTTTTGGAAGAAGTTGTCTGGCTGGGTTCATAATACAAAACTTTTAAGATTCAATCAAGCTTTAACTAGTTTTTCCCATGATTATTCTATTATGAAGCAAAAGCCTATCTTTTAATAAGTTTTAATCTGAAATTTCTCTGTCTGCTAGAGCATTGAATCTTCGGCAGTCCTCGGCTGATAAAAATTCTATACACTTTTGCAATTATTTAGCAGGTAATTGGCCGCAGGTATTAACTGTGCGTTCAAAACTTGTTGCTATACACTTATATGTAATTACCATTACCTCACTGACAGCTTGATTGTGTCATTGTTGTGTATAAATAATAAAAATGGCAAAAGCTAAGCTAGCAACGCGTTACCAAAAAAGAGTTGGCCCCAACTCACATTGACGTTGGCCAAAATGAATTCGCAAAAGCACCAATTGGCATTTAAGGCGCGCTGACCTTATGAGGGCGACCATATTGGGAATATGTTTCCATATAACTGATATAGAGAGCAACAAAAAATAGATAAGTACAGTGGCCGCAAAATGCAATCAGGCAAAGCACAACCAAAAAATAAATAAAAGAAAGTTTAGGCATTTAATTTGTGCAAAAAATAAGTAAATCAAGATAAATCGAAAACAATGAGAGTAAAAGTAGCACGCAATTCAACCAGAATATATATATATATATATATATATATATATATATTTGTATCGATTTTTTGCTGTTTGGTCGACTAAGTGAGTGAAGGTATTAAACAAAATTTACATTTAAAAGCAAAAAGTAAAACATGTGGAGAAACCTTATTTGGCAAAAAAAGAGAAACAATCTAAACGCGTGAAGCTAGCGCCTTCATATCTGAGTGACTACGTGAGATTTTGATAAAGCTGGCGCTTTTGATAAAATCAACATTTAGACACTAAACGGCAAACACACACACACAGATAAGACATGCTACAATAGACAAAAGGTTGACAAAAAAACTACTCTTGCAGATAGCTGAAAAGTGAAGCCGAGTGAGACACAAGTGCTCCAAGAGACACAAGACCCCAGCCACAGATGGAGACGATGACAAAGGCCAAGCGAGAGACCTGAACGTGCACGTGCAAAACTGACAAAGGGCAACAGAAGTAGTTAAGGTAGTTGAAAGCTTGGAAAGTGCACGACTACCAAATACTCTACAAACAAATTGAGAGCCTAAACAAGTTAGAAAACAATTAAATCTAAGCAAATTTCAGCTCTTAGATTTATTTCCGTTTCGGCAAACAAAGTTGAAAGTTTAAACTTTTATGAAATAAATTTGGATTTTAACACTTTTAACTTTTTGTTTTATTTAGCTTGACCTCTTCTGAGAACTTTATTTTGGCTTTTCGAAATAAAAAAAAACAAAGTTTTGAAAACTTTTTGGTGAACTTCAGAGAACTTTGTAGTTTTTAAATACAAAAGAAAAACTGCGTTGAAAACTTTTTATTGTATTAATAGTTTTTTGAATATTTATTGTTTAAAATGTATTCATTGCCATAAAAAAGTTCATTTATTTATTTATTGAAAATTAAGTATTTACTTTTTGTAAATAATAATTTATGATTAAGTCAAATTCTAAAATTTTGGTATACGAAAAACAGCTTGATAAATGAATTCAAGCACTCAGTAATATATTATTATTATATTATATTATTATATTATTATTATTATATAATTAATAAATAATTAAATACATTTGTTAGTTAATTTAATTCAATAAATAAATAAAACAATAATAAATTTATTTAATAAAATTTAGATAAATCAAAAATGCAAAAGCATATAAATCTTTAAAAAAAAGTTTTTAATTTCCAGTTTTATTTATTCACTACAAATTGTATTTTACTTATGAAAATTTGTGAATATTTATTTTGATTCACTTATGAATCACATCTTAACAATCCTCGCTCACGTTGTCTTATCAATCAGTAAACAAAAAGAAGATCTAAACAGGAAATCTGGTTTTACAAGCTGAAGGTTATTAAAGCCCCAAGAAAAGCGGCCAGACATTGGTTAATATCGTAAAGAACATATTAATGAGCTTCTTAAGTAATAATTGAGCCCGTAAAAATTTATGATCTTTATACTTTTTTTAATATCATCAAAGGTTCTTTTTACTGCACAGTTAAAGCTGTTTTATGAAATGTAAAGCTTCACATTTTGATTAGCTTTAGTTGCTCACGAAGCTTGCCCCACTGTGCGCAAGCTCTCTGAACTTGATTGCTAACTGGTTTTTTTTCTCTCATTTTGTTCCTTCTTTGTGCAAAACTGTATATAAATTAGGTCTGTCTACATATTTTGCCAAGATATTTCCAAAGGGAAAGTCAATGGTTTAGAGGAAGTTCCCTTAGGCAGACGGCGGACTCACCTTTTGACTCCAAGTTGTCAGCTGTGACGACAACGACGTGTTGCAAGCATATGTTGAACAACACACACAACAACAACAACAGCAGCAGCTGTGGCGGCCGTTGCAACTGTAAATGTAAATGGGAAAGCAGCCGAGGCATTTTCCACGCGTTCTCTTTAGAATCCGGAGCAATTGGAATAAGGCTGTGCTATGCTATGCGGCTATTTGGTTGTTGCTCCTATATTTGTAGAATGTCGGCGTTTATAGTAAAGTTTTTTCTTGTCGACTGCAGCGGCAGGCAAATGCGATGACATCACTTCCACTTCCCGTGTCAGCGGCTCTGATGGGGTGGTAAGGCCGTGGAGGAGATGGTCTTAAATGTTGCTAGCATCGTTTGACGCTGTGTCTGCCAATTGGATGTGCATTAAAAGCAGGATGCAGCGCAGCAGTTCACAAACACTCAGCTACAACAACAACAATAACAACAGCAATAACTGCAAGCACTTGTGCAAACGCACGCACACACTCACACACTCACACACACAGAGCCGTACGCACTCCCGGCGCGCTTAAGTGTAAACAAAAGCTGATACCTTTATTTGCATGTGAAAAAAACATTTATAACGGCATTGATATTTGTGTTTTAGTGTGTGTGTGTGTCTTGTCTTCGGTTGTCGGTGCTAGCTCTTTTTTGGCATTTGGTTTTTTGATTACGCGTATGCTGTGTCTGATATATAAAATACTATTAAATTAACTTATTTTGCTTATGTTTGCGTTTCAATTGTTTGTCGTTAATTTAATTTATTTAACACTCTACGTTGTTTTGCACAGACAGTGCCACTCATATACACACACTTGCATAGAAGCTCTAAACACAGCTACGCTACGCGCTGACACAACAAATTACCACACAAAAATGCCCGCGCGACACACCCTACACGTCCAAGAGTTGCAATGAAACTGACGAAAGTCGCTGCAAAAGCATACGAAAAACACAAGAGCAACAAAATCCAGGGCTGAAGCATGTCGGTCTATCGATATACTCTTTTTAGCGATATTTCTTGTTTTACCGATATGCGCGTAACAATAACAGCACTTATCGAAAAGAGTGCGTTGATGGACTGTTGCTGGTAAATATAAAACTTTGATACGTTACTTAGCTTTATGTTATGGTAAATACGCGGGATGTTTGAAACCTTAAATTTGACGTATTTTAAAGGTGTGAAGGCTAAATGGAAAATATAAATTTTAATATATAATTATCATTTGTATACATAAAATATGTAAGCATTTAAATTTACTTAAATTCTTAATTCTTTGTGTCGGCCGCTCACTCTCGCACTCTCTCTATCTCTCGAAGACACGCTTTCTCCCTCACTCTCCATAACTCTTTATCATTCTCACAGTTCTTTCTCCATCTACCACTTTCCCCTATCAATGAAATAAACATAAGTTTATGCAAATCTTATAGAAATTTATTTTAGTGAATGTTAGTGTATAAAAAATTAACAATATTCTTATAAATAGATAAAGAAATACTTGCGTATACAACTTAAGCTTATAGGATCAGCAAGGCTCTACTACACAATCTGTACATCACGATTAAATCTAGTTCTACTTTTCGCCGAGACGAATCTGAATCTCCTTCAAACTCATGCCCTTAGTCTCTATCACGAAGAATAAGACAAAAAATAATGCTAGCATGCAGCATCCGGAAAAGAACCAGAATGCATAGTGGGACCCAAGTGCATCCAGAGCCGGATAATAGCGCGCGACCAGGAAGCCGAGAATCCAACAGGTGCTGGCCACCACAGAGGAGGCCGATGATTTAACATTCGCCGGAAACATTTCACCGAGCACGGCCCATGGCAATGGACCGAAGCCCACGCAGTAGACGACAATGTAGATGATTAATGCGGGCACTGGCAGCCAAATCACATTGGAAATATCCCCCACGACCAACTGCATGTAGAAGAAGCCACCTAAGGCCGCCAGACCGATGCTCATCACACTGGCCGACATGATCAGAAGCAGTTTCTTGCCCATGCGATCCACAACGAGGGGCGTCAGACCGGATGCGCCAACCTGGACGCAGCCAATAATTATGGTGGCAATGGCCGGATCCAGACCGGTTTTGGCGCTGGCAAAGATCGACTGGCTGTTGAAGAGCACCGCATTGATGCCCGATAGCTGCTGGAAGCTGATGAGGCCGGCGCATATGAGCAGCGCCTTGCGATTGCTGTACACCTTGACGAGATCGAGCATTGTGCCCTTGTTGGCCATGGACTCCTCGACATTGGCCTGTATCATCGCCATCTCGTCGTGCACACCCTCAGCGCTCTGTCCACGCAGAAACTGCAGCGAGCGCAGAGCAGCTGTCTTGCGGCCCTTACCGGCCAAATAGTAGGGACTCTCGGGCATGAAGAAGAACACCGCATCTGAGATGATGGGCACCACAATGCAGCACCACTGCAGCGCCTGGTAGGATACAAACGGGCCAATGGCATAGGCATACAAAATGCCACCTTAACAGAAGAAAAGACCAGCAGAAAGAGTTAATCCTGTCTCGGGAAACATCGTAGTCTGGCTACTCACAAACAATGAAGAGCTGCATCAGTGAGCCGGTGGCACCGCGTACATTGTCTGTGGAAATCTCACCCACGTACATTGGCTGTACGGTGATGACAAAGCCAACGCCGAATCCCTGAACCACACGAGACAAGTACAAGATCCAGACCTCGGAGGCCACCATGTTGAGCGCAAAGGCGAGCAAGAAGAAAACGTTGCTGGTGAGCAGCACCCACTTGCGTCCGACCCGATCCGCCATTGGACCAGCCAAGAAGGGTGCCACCAAGGCGCCAATTGCGATTAGCGAAGATATCCACGCATCTTCGTCAGAGCTTATGGGTCTGTCCAGAGGCGAGTCCGAGGTATCTGGACTCTTAAGCTTTGGTCCAATGGGCGATGTCCAGCCCAGGCAGATGCCTATCCCAAAGGCGGATAAATTGGCTATTCAAATGGGATTCAACTTGAGTCTCTCATATGTTGAAGAAGCCATGACTGCAGTCAACTCACCTGCCACAGCAGCCAGAAAGATGCGACTCGTCTTCACCGGTTCCATGTTGTGTGCTAAGCCGTCGCTCATCTGGAAGGAGCTTACTTCTGTGTAGGACTGTTGCCGTTTCTCGCCCAGCTGATTACTCATTGTTGGCATCTGGCTTGCTCACGTGTAGCAGCTGCAAGGGGTCAAGAGTTCACACATTAAAACGGACTCAATCCATTGCGTATACGCCGCGTGAACAAATAAATTACATATATTTACGGAAATCATTTTTTGCCTAGTTATTGTTTAGGTTTCGTTTTAAAACGTATTTAATTAACGTGTTTCCATTGGACAAAGCCAAAAAGCAAAAAGCTAATTTTTTTCTATAAAAATACAAATGATTTCAGCTCTGCTGCGATATAAGTGACTTTAACATTTAATGAGCCCTTGCCACAAATTACAAATCATTTTAATTGCACGCTGAACAAAGCTACTAATGATTATTAATATTATTATTATTATTAGTATTATTTTCTGTCCTACAATTGACACCAAATATATTATATATTAATCATATATATATTTATTATTTATTATTTATATATATATTTTTGTCTAAAGGCAAGCTTTGAAACACTCATTTCACTTTCTGAATAATCCTTACATGGAAGCTTAACAAGAATGCACTCGATATATATAATAAATATATATATATATATATATATATAGAATCGTAATGAAAATAAGACTTGTCAACCGTAAGCCTTAAAACTGAGACTCGAAATGCTGAAGCGCACAGCGAGTCGCATGAATTTAAAGGTTTTCTTCGTATTTTGGGGACCTTAAGTCAATATACAATCGATGATGCGTGTGTGTGTGTGAGGCGAATGTAAAAGTGCATTATCTTATCAGAAAACCCCTGCACATCATCTAGTACTCAATCATCGTTACGTTTGTATGCTCTGTGCTGTGCTGCTCTGTTCTCGGATCGATGCAGCCAACTGCGACTACGGCTGAACTGTCATTTTGTACAGAATTTTGTGTTGTTGCGCCACTTGTGTGCATTTTGCACTTGAACCGACCCAGGCGATAAGGCAGCGCTTCTCATCCAATCTCAATTTGTTTGCTCAGCTCGACCCACTTCAGCCTTAAGTCGCCAGTTCGATGAGGGCACCTGTAACACACAAATACATGCGCACATCTACAGCTACAGCTAAAGCTACCTATGCCAGGTAATGTGGGCCTAACAAGAATCAAATATTCCTAGTCCACGTAATTTTTTAGTAATTTCCGTTAATTGTTTACGCTGCACTCGCTAGCAAAAAAAAAAAATAAAAATAACAAATCATATTTGTTACGAAGCTGTTGACTTGATTTTGTCATCAAAAACACTTAATTGGCTTAGGTAATAGACGTACGTGCATAGATACTTGGGCACTTTCGGTAGATATGTGCACAGATTATCTAACGTTCACACTCTTAACTGGTTATTTCAGGAAAAACTCTGCCAAGTCAGGATTTAGCTAATTTGAATTTGCATAGAGAAATGTAGGCAGACCTTGAAGCAGGCAGACCCACTCTATGGGTAACTTTCTAAATACTTACTAGAGATTATATATACTAGAATATTAATTTAATAGAAATATATAGCAATATCAAGTTTTTCGATATATTCCAAGCGCCTTTTGCTCTTAACTTCAAAGAAATTTGATAGCCTTAATAGGAGTAACACATAGTCTTGGTCGTGGTTAGCTTTCGAGGTTTGAATACTGATTTCTACTGACTTCCTTTATAGTAATCAATCTAACAACAAAACTGATTTTAATATTCCAAAAAAAGGTTTCTGCAGACGATTAGACGCTGGTAACAATGAGCTAGATGCAAGTTGAGATAAGTCTACCAACTCAGCTTTGCTTAGTCAGAATCTCTTAGTTGTTAGTTGTTATTTCAGTCAGAAATCGTTGTGTTTTTAGTTTTAATACTGTTTAAATAATAGTTTGAATTTCAAGTTAATCTTTGCTATAAAAATATTTATTATAATACTAATACTTCCATTACCCTTATCAATATTTTATTACTTCCACTTCTTTATTTTTACCCTTAAATCAATATTTTCCAAGTAATGTTTCCTGCTCCCTCTTTCGAGTTGCTTTTAATTTTGATAACAAACACAGGTGACGTCTTTGCATGCATATTGAGATGTCATATTTATGTTCTCAAAATTTCATGAAGATTGCATAGCTAGAGCTAAAGTTATTTAATAAGTAATTTTCCATATGTATAAATTAATATGTTGCTGGTCCAGCGATGAACTAGGCGTCGGTGGCAGGTCCAGCGTTGATCGGGTATTTATAGTCTTAATCAATAAGTTGCTGGTCCAGCGATGAGCTAGGCGTCGGTGGCAGGTCCAGCGTTGGTCGGGTAATTATAATCTTCTTATGATGATTATGTTGGAGGGTTTGACTTCACCCCCTTTTCTATTAACTGGCCTTGTGGCTCAGCAATGATCAGAAATATAACAATTTGATTACGGCGGTGTGCCGGAGTAGTGCGGGTTTATTCTTCAAACTTCAATGCAAAACTGATTTTTAGCTACATAGAATATTTCACTTAAGCTAAGCCAAAACTCGCATCACACCACAATGTCATGGTCGGCAAGCCGACTCAGCAATCTTAGGCAATAACGGAAACTCTTGCAGTAAACAAAAGTATCTGGTTACCGCCGCTGACCATTGCAGTTATAGCGCGCTGATACAAAGTATGCAGTGTCGCAATTGCGAGGGCTGTTTCTTAACTTACGAAACACGCGATAGCGAGGGTTGATTATAAACTTATGAAATACCCTATATTAAATGTTATGTGTTAACTACTCCCCCTTCAAGTGTAAGGCCGCCCTCGGCCGACCCAATTCCGGCGACGACTTCTCGTAATTGCTTCGCAGACTTCCTTGCGTCGATGAACCGCCAAAGGGTGAGGCCAATGTAGATTAAAGCACAGCATATAGCTCCAATGATGAATGCCACACGATAAGCTTGATCAGTTCCGGCGTCTTTCTTGAATTGCTGTATCTCCTCCAAATTACGTTCATTTAAACGATGAAGATAAGGGAGGCTGAGGACATCTTGGCTGGCAGTGATGTTCAGCAAGGGAGAGTTGGCAATGCCCGGGACTCTATTGCGTACGTTGTTGTGGTTGTAAAACAGAGTCCCGTTGATCGCGACTCGGTCCCCGAACGTAATGAGATGCGTGCCGTGTACTTGGATTTCAGTGCCGTTATCCACCTGGATCCTTGCGAACCCGTCGTTAAGAATGATGATTCCATCATCTACGTGGGTGATTATTTCCAGGTTGCTCGGCTGGATTTCACAGTGTGCCGTGCCACCTGCATGGAGCTCTTTGGCACATGAACTCTCTAATGCCAGACGACAAAAGGTGGCTCCAGGTGAAGCGGTGCAACTCTGCAGTGTGTGGGTTTTTCCATCGCATTCGGCTATGACGTTGTCAGGCAATCGCAATATGAAATTCTTGTGAATGACAGGATAAATCGTAATTTTTCTGCAAGCTTGTTTAATCTTTGGGAATTTAATTATAAAATGTATAGTGTTAGTGGATTGAAGGACTTTTACGGACGCAACGGACATAAGATCTCCTATGGGAGTGTTGGTGGGTTCCTCTAGCCAAATTGATTTCAAATCTGAGTGGTCCAAAATGTTTGGGCTAACAATGTTAGCCTTTGCAAGAGTAATAGCAAGCATTAAATTTTGCAACTCCATTACCAGCATTCTATTTCTAGACAATAGTGTCTCGAATAAATGGCTAGTGTCAACTTGTGAGTTTTTGGCTATCTTGAGAATCTTATTGACAGTGAATGTCAACTGGTTAAGCTGGTCTTGAACTCTAGTGTTTATTTCTATCTGTCTATTGTTGGCATTTACTAGCTGCCTTTCAGTAAATCTAGTCTGCTCTAAATCCCTGGCATCAGGTGTACCCGCCACAACCTTCAGTATGGACCCTAGGAAATCTAAACTTCTGGCGACTCTATGATGCGTGCCTAACGCCTCCAATAGGTCTTGTAGATGTACCGTGTCCACACTCAGAAGTTTTTTCATGTGGGATAGCGGGAACATGTCAATTAATTTGACCGTTTCTTCCACAATTCGCACGTATTCTGAGAGGTTTGCCGAGTGCCTAACGTAGGCGTATTCTTCCCATATCAAGATTTCGCCGTCGATGATGGGAATGTACTTGGCACGCGAGTAGTCGGTGACATGTGCCGAAGCCACTGATAAGAAAAGGAGTACTATGGATCCCAACCTGTGAAATAAGGTTGTTTCCTTTCTTTTTAGCAACCTTTTTTTTTTTAAAAGGTTTGCCCACCACCAAAAATAAAAACTATGCCAAGTGGCTAAAAGTAAATTGAAAAACTATATCTAACTTATACAAGTTTGCCTAGTGGCTTAAAAATAAAAAAAAACAAGAGTCATCTTAGGTTGTCCTTGTGGACCACCCTCCCTCTAATGAGGACCTCGGTCCCCAGGTCTGCATCCACGGCCTTCTCATCACATAAAGGTGTGAGTTTGTTTCCGAGTCGTCGGTTGGACTTGACCAAAACTTTGTCACCAACGTCAAAGACCCTATTCTGCCGATTTGCGTTCTCCCTAGCTCTAAGCGTCATCTGAGCGTTTCTGATCTTTTCTTGTATTTTCTCTTGTGGCTCATCTGGTTGAGCCTGAACCACATCAACTGGTCTCTGGTCGATGACCGAATGGATCGACTTATTGTACTCAGTTGTAGCCAGTAAAATGACTTCTACCGTGTCACTTATGCCCTTATCGATCTTTAGGCATCTGGCTAGCTCCAAGAGAGTGCTGTGAAAGCGCTCAACCTGTCCATTCGAGATGCTATGCAATGGTGGTGCATTTGAAATGCTGACCCCATAGTTGTTTGCGAGCATAGTCACGATGGTCTCTGAGTTCAATGACGGTTCATTGTCACAGTAGATGGATCTGGCTTTTGGATAAAAATTCATCAGCTGCATTAACGCTGGCTTCAGATCCACGATGGTTCTTGAAGGGACCGGTTGGACAATAGCAAACTTAGAGAACTTGTCGATGCAAGTGAGAAAGTATTTCCTGTCAGTGGAGAAAATGTCTATGTGTAACATCTCTCCTACATGTGAGGGTATCGGAGTTT